TTTAAATTCCAACTAAATTGAACCAAAAACAACAAAAAAATAAAAAGAAAAACCCTAAAAGTAACCGATTGGCGAAATAAATTTTTTTTGTTCATTTGATGATAACCTTTCGCTCCGCCACCCGGCCACCAGCACCTCACCGGCATATATTTCTTTGTGCCAAGATCTGGTCACAGTTTTAACCAGTTCTTGCTTGCCTGCCGAAAGTAATTTTTGGAGGAATAAATCTTGCCGCCGCCGTCTCTGACAGAAAAACCCACTTATTTTGAGGCAGCCGCCACGTGTGCCAATTGGACGGCACTGTAATTTCTTGGGACGGCAATGACATTTCTGCCCCCATTAAATAGACGTCAGCCTCAACGGCGGATCAGCTGCCATACCCTTGCTCATGCCAGCAAGGGCAGGCGCCGTTTCCACAGTTTGGAATCCGGAAGAGGCAGTAGCCTTCTGGGCCCCATTGACGCGCCGCTGATCAGAAGCCCAGATGACATCGCCAATTAAGTTGGCCGGAGCGTGCAGATGCATGAAAATTGCTGTTAAATGTTTTTAGTAAAAAAATTGTTAACTAAATCTTGTGAGAGACTTCCAAAAGTTTGTGAAAAGTGCATTTATTAGGCCCTCAAAAAACCGCGTGCAAGTGCAGTGAAAAAGAAAAATTGACATCTATATACATAGCTTTATATATATAGAAAGGAATACTAGTATAAATCTATCCCCCTTCTTGTAGAGTCCAAAGTCATTTCAGAATTTTTTTTATATTTTTTTTCCCACTTATTTTCGGAGAGTATCTTCTTAGTACTCACAATTTAAAAACCCTCCTGTGCCATAATAATATAATCAAAACAATTTAAAGCCCCACAGAAGACAAAAGAAAACAAATGAAAAAAAAATTAAATAAAATTTGCTGCAAACTCTCCGCTGGAAGGCCTTTCATCGAGGAATACATGTAAGTTTTTAACCTTTTGTTTTGAGTATATTTTCTTATTTTGGCACAGATAAGCACAGCCAAACTGACATGCGCACCTGCTGAGTTTTTTTTACTTTCTGTTTCACATTACGCTTTAGCTCCGATCAATATGTTTATGACCGTGTCAGTCTGGTGAATGCTTATCATCTTTGATTCTACCTACACCCCGCTCAATTACTAGCTGAAACAGAAGCAACCTAAAAGAAAAGATTTTTAACAGAATCAAATATATGTACACAAAGATGTATCATCGTATTCACCGATCAGCTGGTTGCGCTGCGCTCCGATTTGCCCATGCGCTTTGAGCTTAACCTTCTGTTGCCCATATTTTTTTCGACCATACAATTAACCATCAACTACAATTGTATTGACTCTATTATAATAACTTTTTTTTTTGCTTTTGCCGAATACACGTTAGTTCAATTTACGAATGTCATTTTTTTCTTACCTAGCTATATTCTATAATTATTAAAATGCACTTTAGCGAAATTTGGAGAGTTTCTTTTTGATCAATAAGAAAAAAAAATATTAACTGAATAGTTTATAAAATGAATTATTTTTGAAGAATCTTTGAGACATTGTAAAAATATTAACGGACTAGTTTTAGTTACTGAATTATTGTTGAATCATTAATGCCACTTGTAATAAGATGCAGATTATCTAACGGAAGGATTCAGTTTCATTGAATAATGCTTTTGTTTATAATAAATATTAATTACGGATTTTGATTATGAATTGCTAAGTTTTCTTTCCTGGTGACATGGTGATATAATGTAGTAGAAGAATGTTTTTTTTGGGATCTTCAAAACCTTAAACGCTGAAGATCATGGTTGGGAGGGTATCGAACGCGAGAGTCAGCTTACATCCAAGACTTCGCCTCTTCGGAATATATATGCCCTAATGAAAGCTATCACCATTGTATTGGCACTTTAAGTGCTCGTTAAGTTATGCCTGTTTGAGATTTTGTTTCTGCGGAGTATCGGTCTCCAATTTAGATTCTGTAGGGATCCTAAAATAAAATTGTGTATGCAGGTCGAGACATGGCAAAAAGAACCCCCCCACCCGAAAGAGCTAGGGAACAAGAGGATCCCGCCCTGCCATGCTAACTCAACCACGAGGGGCCTCGGTGACTACTTCCCGAATTATTTTGTGAAGATTGGCTGCCAACCGCCGTCACCGTTGCTACCCGATATGTATTGCTAGAGTAGCTTCACCACAGTACTTGCTACATTTTACAGAATTGCTAGATCCAACAGTGTCGCTTAACTAATTAAAATTTTGACCTGGACCACTCATTGAAAATGTGTAATATGACCAATGTAAATTATTTAAACATTTAAATGACAAGATATTTGACTGTTTGTCAAATTTAACTTATTCTCAACTAACATGTACTTTAACAGACACATGTAAAGGCGAGTCCCACCGCATAAAATAAAGTCGAAAAGTTAATAAGGCAAAACGTATGCGCAGAGGTGTAATCAGGTTAGTCGACAATAAGTAACTGTAGTCATATACAAGCTGTCACTTGACATGCCTGGCGAGGAGGGTAATTACATACACGATTACACACACACACCAAGTAGACCTGCCACATGCGCTAATTATAGAAGGACTTTCTAGCTTGGTGACCTGCATATTTTGCAGATCCGAGTGCCAAAGGTAAAGCTGTACCTGCTGCCAGGCATTCAAATTCTTTGCATAAGTAACACCAAATACCAATTACGTCAATGAATACGTAATGGGACACAGCAGGAGTCGACTTGGGAGCATAAGCAGCGGGTGCTCAGCTTTCGGGCCGCGTAAAAATAACCATCGATTGGAGTCAACATTTGTCGTATGCCTCTTCCTAATGTCCTTGTCCCCGAGGCTTTGCTGCATGTGCGGGAGCTTTGGGTCGGTTCATGTGGCATGTGTGTCATATAAATTGTGGCTAACGCATGTCCACTTATCGCCAACCCACATATGTATATATATCGAGAAAAGTTAAGAGCTACTGAACTTTGTCCAGCAAGTTATATTTGCTTTATGGCGCCGATTAAAGCTTAACTTTGTTTGACTTGTGTGGGAAGACGTGGAAAGAGGGGGCGATCCTATTTGTTCACCGTGGTTTCATGTTCAATTCCCCAGTAAAACAATTGCGTATTTTGCTTTCCGATAAGCTGCAGCAAAACTGAGTAAACTAAAATATATATTTAACATGTGTTGTTGACTTTCTGGGTACGATAATCTTATTTCCTTTTTTTCTGCATAAAAAGTTAAAACAGAAAGTTAGATATTTAATATTTATTCCCCAATTGAAATGTTAGTTGATAGGAACGTAACAAAAAGCCAGCTAAAATCAAAAATAACCAAAATAGCACAAAAAAAAAAACAAAAATTTAAAATTTTTTTTTGTTTTTTAGCCATTTTTATATAATAATGTCGTCTGTAACTTAGATCAAACATTCCTTCCTTCCTTCCAGAATAAGTAAATTATTATCTGTGCAGATTGTTTGACAAAACTGGAAAAATAGATTTTTATAAAATCTAAAAAAAAAAACAAAGAAATATTATAACTTAAAGACAATAACTTTGCTTAAAAAAAAATATTTTGTTACCTTTTAAGAAAATCGAATATTTATAATGTGTGTATATCTATATATTTTTAGGACTTTGGCAAGTCAAAGCTTGATTTGTATTATTATTGACAATCTTTCAACAAACATTGTTTTTGGGCATTTTGTTTTTTATATGTTGAACAACTTGCTTTGTTAAGTGTTAATCATTCGGCTTCCAGAACAGTTTGAGGACAATTATTCCCTGGGGACAGTGTATCTTCAAATTGGTGAAAGCCTACACAAACTTTTATTTGATTACACACAACCTTTGCAATTTGATAGTTAGCAATGCAATTTCAATATTCCATTTCAGCCAGGTGTCTTGTATCTGCAAACTTTTCTCAAAGATACTTTATTGATTCCTTTTATAATTCGATTCGTTTACATACTTTGCCCGAATCCAATCATGGTTGGCAAATTATCAAGCTCGCCTGAGGTCCTAAAAACTTGGCAAGGAAGTTGACTGGCAAAAAAGGAGCTGGCAGATCTTAAAATTCACTATCTTCGATTGGCAGAGTCGCCGAGAACTGAAGCGCACACAAAAACATTTGAGGGTAGAAAAACAAAAGCTGACCCCCTGACCCGCTTTACCAGGCGACGCGACCCATACATGAAATACTTAAGATAAGTTGAAAGACTACTATACCCTGTAGAAAATCTCTTTATATAAAACTGTTTGTGCTGACTGACTGACTGATTAGTTACCTTATGATTTGTTATATTTTTCAGCAAAACGATAACAGGAGATATAGATAAATATAATTAAACTTGTGAAGTAGCTTAGAAATTGCTGGCATATCAATAAGAGACTTTAGCTCTATAAGACTTCTACGCCTAATATACCCCTCTTGACTGGTGCGTGCGTATGGGACATACAAACACGGCCTTAACAGCAAAAATCTGCTAGACATTGTGGCAGCAGCAGCTGATTCCTCTAAAAGCCACACAGCAAAATATCGGGTGGCTACTTTAGAGCAAGGCAAGTTCCATGAATTTCCCTGCTAGTGAAAAGCTCTGCTTACTTCTCTGACCGTTTCACGTTACACAGGTGCAAAAGTAGATACGGTATAAAAATCTGGTATAAATAACTCTATATGTTTTATTTGTGTTGTTCTTATTTTTTTTTCTTTAACAAAAATTGCAAGTTAATCAGAATGTAAGTTAGTAAAGCTCTGTGCTAGGCGCCACCATTAACCGAGAGAACGGTAAGAAATAACACAATCGGAAGCAATAAGATAAAATGCTTGAAAACAGTTGGGTTGACTAACAGTTACCCTGTACACATTTATATTCATGAAGTGTATATGAATTATTATTATTTATTATTTCATATATAATATGAAAATAGCTGAAGACCTGGACACTAGCGATCTCTTATTTAAATTATTTATAGTATTATTTATAAAATGAATTTATTATAAGTAGTTAACCCATCAATATGTGATGCCAGATTCTGTATTTTCCATATCTCCAATAATCAGTTTCTTGAAACTGTAGAATGCGATAGGCATAATCATAGACATAGACTTGGATGTTAATGCTTATCATAGAGTGTGTCTGTTACATAAGTGTGCCTACCCCATTGTAATTGCTTTTAATATAGGGTATATACAAAAATACTGTCAACTTGTAGTGAAAAGTTTGCTCACCACTTGGCTCTTTGGCTGAAAGTAACTTACCGTATTTGCCAGGAAGCCCTGGCTAATGTTTTGAGGGCGAAAAAGTTGGCAACAGTAGCTGCTGCTGCTGCCTATTGACCCAGTTAGTAGCTGCTTGTAGGCCCTTTAAATGCCGTCCTTAGAGTATTTAGCTTCAGATTTGAAACGGTGGTTTAACTTGATTGGAACCGAGTTGAATGTTTTGCTCGTTCTTTGGCAGTGTTTGCTTTTTCAATTACGTTTAATAACTCTTTGGCCAATTGCAGTTAGGGTATCTCATAGTTGTTGTTGTTGTCACAGGTGTTGGACCACTGAAGGAGATGTTGGGATTTAATTTTCGAATTTTTGGTTTATCGATTTTGGCTTTGGTTTTGCTGCTGTTTCTGCACCTTCTGCTTTGGTTTAAGAGTTCGATTAAATACAGGCTTGGCAATAGACATTGATGTTTGGCTATATATTAGGCTAATAGTTACTCTGTTTTTGCTACTAGATTCGTTTTAAATGCACTTCATTAAGGGTAGGGGATTTTTAAGACTAGGTACACACACACTCACTCCAACACTGACACACAAGTTAATTCACGATAAACAGTTTTTTATTTAATTGGCTGCGTTGCATTTGGTTTTTTTTAGCGTTTGCTTTAATTGATTAAGTTATATGGTTTTTTTTGTTGTTGCTGCAGAACGGTTTTTCTTGCAATTCTCTTGACCAGCAGCTTTCGTGCAGGTTTCCGCCCGAACTGAAAAACACGTCCGCACTGTGCCACGAGCCAGGAGAACCTAAAAATCAGTACACATATTGGCCCATAGACCTAGTCTCGGCTTGCTAGAATGCTCTCTCTGTCTCTCTCTCTCTCGTAAAGACGCGCGCTCTCTTGCGCTCTCTCTTTTTGTATTGCTTTCTCTGTGTTTTGTTCTTGCGCCGTCGCATCACCCACGCGGCATCCTGTGACATTTACAATGTCACAGAGAGCGAGACAAGAGAGCGGGCGAGAGCGTGCACAACAATTTATGTCTGTGAGAACTGTAATTCGAGTGTGACCGCGAGTGTGTGTTGTGGGCGGCAGGGTGTATGGGGGGGAGTGGCAAGGGGGCTGGCTTGCCGACTATAATTTGTTTTCATTTTGTTCTTGCTTTGGGGCAACTCCTTTGGGGCTCGCTCTTCTGATTTTTTAGTGATGTGATAAATATGAATGTTTTGTTGCTCAATTTCGCGCGGTTGGGTTGTGTTATGCCATAAAGTACAGGGTATGCGACAGAGTCAAGGTCAGTTGACGATACGCACTGAATGATATGAAAGTCAAATAAAATAAAAAAAAAGTTTACAGTAATTGAAATCAACATTTTCTTGACAATTCTTACACATGACGAAAGCTGATAAAAACTTGATAATAATTGGTCATCAAGAGTTCCTTTGTGTGAATCAACTTATTGTTGCGCCCTTATAGAGGGTACTATAATTTTGTGATGAAGTGTGTAAAGCATGGGAGATGTCTTAAATAATGTGGGTCTTAAGAAGTGCCGGACAGAAACTGCCAAGCATATAACATTAGGCTTATCAGGAACATAGACAAATAGATTCAAAATTTAAAAATTAATTTATTCTCAAAAAAATTTGATTAATGTACCCAAGTCTTAAGAATATATATATTTTATATACGTTGCTAAAGGCTCATGTATTTGTGAGCTTTTGAAAGCTCATAAGAAAAATTGATTTTCTGCTGTTAGATATTTAACATTTGGTTGAAAGGCAGTTAAAGACATCAAAAATAATTGAACTGTCTAGCATATTAGAGCTTATCCGGCACTTTAAAGTAATATTTAAAATCAACATTGATAAATTCATGAAAGTTCATAAACATTATTGTTATTCTGCTGTAATATATTTAACATTTAGTTACAATGAGGATGTAAGCACAATATTAATTGGGCTCACAAACAAAATTGGTTTTCTGCTGTTCGACATTTAACAGTGGTTAGAAGGAGGATGTAGACACCTAAAGTAATTCAACTGCCTGGCAAAGTAACTTATAAATATATCTTTTGCCTAATGCTCATAGATTAGTAAGTTTTCAATAAAGGTTTCTGCTTGCATGTGAAGTGTGAGTGCGAAAGTACTTGAGCTTGGTTTGCTCGTCGTAATAGGTGGTTGCCATGTGCTCATCAATCATAGCCTTGGCCATATTATTAGGCCTCGGAACTTTGTCGACTCGTCTGAACAATCCGCACAGCTGTCTGCGGCGCTTCTGATATCTCAATCATCAGGTGACCGACCGCCCAACGGTGCCATTCGCTCATTACGGGCGCGTGTCTGCGACTCATTGACTGTCAAGTGGACAGGCGCCCCCCATTGAGCTGGTTTTAGCCAATTGCTGGCGTAGACAAGCGGGCCTAGGGGCAGCTGCTGTTAGATTTTGGACTCATCACAGCTTTGAAGTTGCCTAATCACAGGTTTTTACTTTTGGGAGCAGAGTTTTTTGGTAGCCATCAAATTATTTGTGGTGCAGTTGTTTATTATGCTACTGGGTGCTGGGTAATGCTTTTGGCTTAGTCTATTATTATGTGGCTAGGTAAAGAAACGTGGCGCCGGACGCTGCGAATAGTCCAGTAGATGCTCGTTGTCTCTGTCCCTGTCACTCTCCCGCTCTCGCTCCCGCTCCCGCTCGCGCTCGCGCTGCCTTTGTCTTTCGCGGTTAAGCTCCGCCTGGCAGGGATCCGCAGTGGGTGACGATCCATGCAATGGATGATCGCGTGGCCAGGCCAGGCGATCGGGTGTGTCATCATCATAGTACTGATCGCTGTCGTGGCCATACGAGTCCGGATCCTCGCCGGAGCTGAGTCCATACAGCGGATTGTCGCGTCCGCGTTGCGGGCCTTGTGCTGAAGGCTGCGAGCGCAACGGCGCGTAGCCTGCCCCATTGCGTCTGTTCAGCCAGATACGCTGTGGCGTTGTGGCCGGCTTCCGGGACAGGAAGCGACCTGGCTGTGGCGGATGGGCGTGTGCGCCAGCCTCATCGCTGCACTTGAGTCCACGCACAATGTTGTTCATGTAGATTGAATGCGGCAGCGGCTGCCGGAGCTTGGGCCTCGGTCTGGGCATGATCTGCTTGTTGCTCACATAGAAATCTCGTCGTTGCGGTGGCAACATGCCGATCCGCTGTCGTGGCTTGGCGAACTGGCCCTCATACAGAATCGGCTCCACATAGTTCTTGACTGGCTTGCGAAAGCGGCTTCCAGAAGGCATAAGTCGCATGTTGGCTGTCAATCAAATAATGGAGTATTGAAATGTTGTTTATCAAATCGTTTAGTTAAAGTTTTTTTCACTTACCTGCCTCCTCAGGCGCTGAAAACTGTGGGCATAGATTCGTATCCTGATCTTCGGCATCTTCACAGTCTTCACTGGCTATATTGTTGGTGGGGAAATAAATTGAAATGAAAATGAAAATTGAAAATTTTAAAATTTTCAAAGTCTAAAACAAACTTGCGTTTTCTTAATATCAGAAAAATATATGATATATATTTTTTTTAAATGTGCTACTCTTAAAAAAAGGACTTTTTAATTTTTTACCTATTATTATTAAAATTATATAAAATTATTTTCCAAAATTTCCTATCCCAAAAATCCAACCCGAATTCAGCTCTGATGGCAAATTTTTCTATATATTTTCCGATATTTTACTGTAGATAGAAATGAATCAACAAAAAACTGATTGTTTTTTTTTTTTTTGAGAAAAATCATTACATGATGTGCATGTAAAGTAAACTAACTGCAACTACTCGAAAGTTATTGCGACTTTCTCTATAAGTCTACAAGGCAAGAATATATTTTTAACCTTAGTGGCGCCACCTACCTTCAGTTTCTTTGTCTTCTTCTTCTTCTTCTTCGTTTGTTCTGCTCTCAGCGTTTTCCGTTGCGGTTTCCTCATCGTCGGATGCTTCGATGCACTCGGTTGTTGTTTCACTTTCTGTCGATGTTGTGGCCAGCGCTTCCGGCCGCAACGTGGTGGACTTGGGACGTGATCTCAGCTCGGCGGCCTCCGTGGTCAGAAATACCGGAAACGTATCACTGGGCTGCATGCTGCCATCCAATTTGATCGTGGGCTTATCCGGCACACCTGCCAACTTGCCGCGCTGTTGCTTGCGGCGCCTGCCGCGCAAGGACTTCAGCTTGTTGCGTCGGGTGTAGACGACGGTGGAGCTGCTCGGCGCTGTGATTGTGGTTGACATCTCGTCGAGCTCCATTATGGTGGGCAGCAATTCGGTTGTTGTAGTGCTCGGCGTCTTTGTTGTTGTGCTCCTGGCTGTGGTTGACGAAGTCGTGGTGCGCTCTGTGGTGCTGGTTTCAGCTGGCCTGCTCGTTGTGGTTGGCCTTGTACTTGTTGTTGTTGTCTCCAGTTCCGTGGTGCTTGTAGCTGAGCTTGTGCTGGAGCTGGTGCTGTTGCTGCCTGGCGTGGGTCTGGGCGTCGATTTGCGCATCTTGGATCTGCACTTTTTGCCCCTGGGTTTCTTAGCGGAGGCGCTGGTCGTGCTGCTGGTTGTCGTCGGCTGTGCCATGCCCAGGGTGAAGTTAGTGCAGGGATCGTGCCGCAGCAGAGGCGTGCGCAGCAAGACGACTCGCACAAAGCAGGGATGCTGCATGGGCAGCATGGGCCGGGCGCAGGGCTCCAGGCCCGAAGGCAGCTGTGCGGCACCGTGGCAGGGTTGTCCATAGTCGCCGCACTCCTCGCTCTCGTCGAAGTCCCCGTCGAACAGGCTCAGCTGGGCGCTGCTGTCCTCGGGCAGGCTGTCCTCACAGGGCACCGAGGCGGCGAAGAGCATGGGACTCGAGCGCTGGCTGCGTCCACTCAAATCGGCGCTGTCCACGCCCAAAATGTTCTGCATCATCTCGAGCATTTGCAGCTCGCGTTTGGGCAGCGCCGAGCTAAGGTCGGAGTTTTCGAGTTGGTCTTGGTTTGAGGTTTGGCTAGTGTAAACTTACCCGATGGTCACCCACAGCGGCAGCAGCAGCAGCAGCATCGATAAACTTGTTGGTGGTTTGGCAGTTTCCATAGAAATGTTGCCGCAGCTCGGTCAACGTTTGGCTTTTGTTTTGTGTGGCGGCGGCGATGGCGGCGTCTCAAATGCTCGGCGGCACACGTATCTGTCAGATACCGAAAGCAGCTCGAATGCAGCTCGAACGCTGCGCTCTCACTTTCGGGCAATTGAGCTGCACCTCCCCCTCTGCCCCATCCCCAGCCCCAGCTAGCTTCAATTGGGCGGTTTTTGGGCTGCCCAAAAATCATAGTTTCTGGTCAGCTTTCTCATTAGAACGTCTCCGATCGACCCGTCCGTCTGTTTCAATCTTTGCTTTCGTTCGCTACGTGACCGCACAGTTTGCCAATTTTTCTTCTTTCTTAATATTTTTTATGTTTTGCATTTTTTTTTTTTGGCTTGTTTACTTTTCCATGTGCATTTCGCTGTTGTTTTATTTTTCACTCGATTTATGTCTCGTTTTATATTTTATTTAAATACCCTGTAACCATCAAAGATGGGTTTAATGTGTGGTACGGGCAGAAGGAACTTTCTTGAACTACATAAAGAAAATAGTTGCATGCTCAGAACTCAGTTGATTTAACACTTTACCATGTCTGACTGTATGTCTGTCTGTCTTATTGTCTATATGTCTATCTGTCTAACTATCTTTCTGTGTATCTATCTATCTAGATTGTAGATAACCTATATTGCAGGTAATCTTTTGCTTTTCCATAGTTTTGCACTGCAAATTTCAGAGTGAGCTGTAATCATTGTAGTTACGGCACGTTGTACAGGGTATACTCTAGTCGAGTAATGCCGGGAAGACTAACTCTTAACTTGTTCTTGTTAGCATTAATGTTACATGTCAGTCGCCTTGTCTCAGCTTTGTGTTAATCACTTTTTGGCCATTCATTCGCAAAGGCAGGGCGGGCGGTTGGTACAGTGGGTGGTATAGTGGGGGAGGGGGCACTCACAATTGTGTCTGAGTTTCGCTTTTTTAATCTATGTGCACACAAGTGTTTTTTCGTGGTGGGTGCTCTGTTGACTGACTAAGTAAATAATACCGTCAGACTGTTTGCGGTTTCGCATAGAACAACAACAACAACGACAACAACAACAACAAATGCTGACTACACGTTTTTGTTGTTGCCAATTTCTCGCATTCTCGTGCAACATCCGCTCAATTTCAAAGCGTTCGAGATGGTTTTAGATCATTGCTAATTCTAATTGTTCTTAATGGAGCTCGGAATTGGAATAGCTAATGATTGGTTTTAATTTTCGTTGCGGTTCGTGCTGTTTTGGTGCGAAATGAAGATTAGAGCTGAGCCGGGCGATTTACTTTCGGCTACTGTAATTTGAGCAACAAGCAAATAAATAAATGCTGCATCTTAATTCTAATTTAAGGTGGGCAATTGAAAAACGTGTGCGTATCTCAGGTTGCGCAGGTTTCATTTATTTAATTCTGCTTAAGAACATAAAAAAGGAAAATAATAAATGCTTTAAAATGTTATTAACGATGAGGGGTACAAAGTATAATAGCCTGGACTCCTAGACAATCTCTTTAGTGAACGAACTCTTATAGCTCTGCGAGGTCCTACCCAGAATCCTCTCGTTCCATTCAACAAGTAAAGTTTGAATTTTGGTGCATATATAAAACGATATTTGCTAATTAAAATAATTATGAAATTAATAATTTATATCTCTAGGCTCTAAAACACTTCTATGTATAAGACTTTGGATATCAAAATTCTTTTCACAATTTTAATCAACAATCAACGCTATGGCTCTCCATAGAAAATCGGCTTGTCATGCTGATAAGAATAATATACTTTATGGAATCAATCTGTACATTAAAAGCCTTTTGTAAAGATTTTAATTTTTGCAAGGCCATAAAGATAGCCCCAAAGAGTTAAGTCGATGAATTACTTTTATATAATAAGCAAGAATTATGATAGACCGGATGATATGAAAGCATGACATCTCTGCATGCTCGACGTAATTATATCTTGAGAAATTAGAAAGTCCGAATAAGACCACAAATATAATTGGGTTACTCTAAACTTGTATATGCTTAAAACTTCTGTAAGGATTAAGTTAAATGGGATTAATAATCGATATGCCAACTTTCGTCATCTTAACATCTTAACATCTTAACAAGCAAATTGTTTCGTTGAAGATTTAAGATTTTTTCTTAGATTTTCCGTACATTCCTTACTTTATTGTTGTTGCTAAATGTTGCCCCCCTCGGCCAATTGGGGACTTAATGTAGCTGCTGCTGTTGCCACATGCCGAGCTGTCAAGTTGTCACTGGAAAAATGTGTTAGACAAATGCGCTTCTCTCGTGAATTGAAGATGTTCGCAAAATATCTTAAGTGCAAACAGAAAAATACTGGAAAATATGTTGATATAGTTACATAATAGAAGGTTCAAAGATTTTATAGATTTTATATGAGCCCAACTTCAAATGTTCTACATGTTTTTCAACCCTTTTAAGAGTTTCATATTTCTTAGCATTTTACACCGCGGGCTTGAAATTTATTCATACTTCCAACAAAGTTGTGTCAACAATTTGATTTTCTTTTATGCGTTTATTTTTCTTAATCCCATCAAGTTAACATGACAAATGTGATTATGACCTAACAAAGGGTATTCTAGTTTTGTGAGACAATGCGTCACGCACTGCGAAAGCAAAAGTATAAATTATAAAAATTATAAAAATGAAAAGCCAAGTTTGTATAAATTATAATTATATAAATTCTATAATTGTACAAAACTAGCTCCATTTGCAACTTATGCCTATGATGGATGTTCTATGGAAAAAGGATATTTATTAGCTACTCTTTACTGTTGTGAATTAAATATTAAATAAACCCAGCGACAGACCGACAACAAATAGTGTGTTCGAGAGAGAACGAAAGAAGAACCGTGTCATGTTGGTGGATTTGTTGTTGTCGCACTTGTTTCCAGAATTTGTTGTACTCGCCCCTTAAGAAATGTTTTCATCCAGGCAACAGTTAAACACGCAACACACTAAACAATGTTGACAAAGCGTATCCGTATCGGTGTCAAGGCGGCAAGGGGCGGGGCGGCGACAAAGTCCTGACTGAGGACTTAACCATCTAATGCGTGGCACAAAGACGGCTCTCTACAAGGATAACAAACAACGCAGTCGAATTTACATAAAAGCATGCGATACATTTTTACAGCCATATCCATTGTGGACTCGTGGCTATATTATGTTTCCGATATCGTACATGTGGCATATAAATATAGATCGACAAGGAAGCGTTTACTTGAATGTGACTTGGGTAAAATACCCTGCAATTGTTGGAATATCTTATCGCGTAGATAGAAAATAATAAATATATATTTAGCAGGAATAATGTTGTATATGCATGAATGTATAAATGAATGAATGATTGAATGAATTTATGAATGTGTGTATGTGTTAATGTTTGCTTGTATGGGTGTGTAAATGTGTGAGCATGTTTGCGTGTGTGTGCATGTATGTATGTGCATACATATGTAAGCATCTAATTGTCTTATCAAATACCAATAGAAGACCAATTTGCCTTGTTGCGCGTCAAATTTAAATAAGAAAACGTATTTATTAAAGGTGTCCTCCTCCTCGATTCTCAAAAATTTAAGTAAGGCTTGCAGGCTTCACCTAAGAATTAGGTGCAGGCGGCTTCAACGCTGAAAGCTGAGGAGCCGGAGGAGCAGGGCGGAGGACCAGGAGGAGGAGCAGGAGGCGTATGTAGGTATGTAGGTATGTAGGTATGTAGGTATGTAGGTATGTAGGTATGTAGGTATGTATGTATGTAGGTATGTATGTATGTATGTATGTATGTATGTATGTATGTATGTGTGTATGTGTGTATGTATGTATGTATGTATGTATGTATGTATGTATGTATGTAAGTATGTATGTATGTATGTATGTATGTGAGTATGTATGTGTGTATGTATGTATGTATGTATGTATGTATATATGTATGTATGTATGTATGTATACATGTATGTATGTATGTATGCATGCATGTATGCATGCATGCATGCATGTATACATGTATGTATGTATGTATGTACGTAGTCATGTATACATGCATGTATGCATGCATATATGTATGTATGTATGTGTGTACATATGGTTTGTATGTGTGGGTATGTCTGTATTTTCAAATATACTAAGTAGACATAGCGCGACATTTCCCACCCCATAACTCGGTCGAATCTCATCCGATTAACTCGAAGCTTGGCTCTTTGTTCATGGTGTAGCCTCTACATCAATTTGGAATTTGAGAAGGGAAAAGAGAGAGAGTGAAAATTAGAGAGAGATAGCGAAAGAGACAGAATATGAGTCGTTATAAGAGCCACCGAGCCTAAAGTCTTAATGAGACACATCTTGTTAAATTGATAAACAATTCTGCTCATCTACATAAAAACAGTCTGTTGACAAATATTGATTAAGATAAGATTTTAATGGCATCTAAGGAAAATTTTAAATTTAGAAAGTATATAGAGGGTATTTAGGGGGTTTAAAGCTGGACACCCAACAGATATAACCTTAAAATTTTATATGCTTATATGAGCAACCATTTCCTAGATATAAAAACTCCAGTTTGATCGGAAGTCAAGCTTTGAGTTTCTTTTTGAGTATTGGTCGGGGACGACGTCTCCAAAAGCCCCACTGCCTAGTCTTGGGACCGACTCTAGCTGTTGCTAGGAAAGTGTGTGTGTTTGCTAAATAATGTCGCGTGTGAGTCGTGACTCGTCAATTCGAGATGTGAGATGGGATTGTGTGAAATAAAGTTGACAAAATACAAATATATGCCAGCCCATTGGTGCACTCGCCGATTGGCCAGTTTGGCCCGGTTAATTCCTGGTGATTCCCGCCGAGACACGGTCTTGCGTCCGTGTAATCCGTGGTTGGATAGGAGGCTGGCGAAATGCGGAAAGTGTAATTAAAGCTAATCAAAGCTTTAAGTGCCCGTAAACCCAAATCACAGACTTTTGCGGCTTATGTGAAACTTTTT